CCTCCTCTGCTATCAAGTATCCATCGTTATTTGTTCAATCAATTATCCATAACTTATTATTCTACATTACTTCTCATCTCTCTGGATCCTTTCGGTTTTCGTGATTCTAATATTGCAAATGTTATACAGGCATAAAGAGTCAGCGAATCAGGAAACAAACCTTAAGAGTAAGAATGCTAACCAAAGTGCCGAGTTAGTTTTCCCTTCATAATGGTTTGACGGACATCTCTCGGCCTTCTCGGGAGCTGGGCAGCGCCCGAGGGAGAATGTAGCCGTTGATTATAACTTTTCTATCTGGCAGACATTATCGAAAGAAATATTTATGTTATAATACAAAATGGTGTTCTTCTCTTTCTCTACACACGCGCATGTGTGCAGTCGCATGGGTACACTCTCACATACATCTACTCATACACGTACACATATCTTACCCTTACTCACATCCATTACTCTATGTGTTTATAGTCTCCATATCCCCTACTTACCATTTATTTTTACAGTATACTGCAGAACACGTGTGAGCGCATCTCCTCACTCTAATGGATTCATTAATCAACACGCCTAATAAAACCTGTGATGACATGCGATAATCGTTCTAGCAGAGGACTTTCATCGTTATTACCTTAATTATGAACTCTCTGCTGCCTGCTTAATGGAAATTGACAGTTGCTATCTAAGTCGATATTGGTACCGCTAATAAAAATAGCGTGTGCTTATAACGGTAATACTCGTATTGCAGATAGATATAAGTAATATTGATTATTATCGTTAAGATAATGGTAGTGAAAAAGCTAATGGATATATATTTACTGTAAATATGTGCAACAATTTCCTGAATTTGCTCATTTTACTTAGTCATTTGCCTCAAAAGCCGAAAGAAATGTAAGTATTCACCAGAACTGCCCTTGACAAACATATGAATGAAAAACTGAAGAAATGCCTAAATAAATGTAAAGATTTACACAATTAAGACAGATTATCATGATGACAATGATGGCGAGAATCTTTTTAGATCAATTTATCGTGATGAAAGAGACTTTGTATAGGAATGACAAATGAACTGTCATTAGAATTAGTATCTGTTATCTCTGGATAAGACAATAATAAATGATGATAATGTAATTCCATTGATAGTAAACAGTATAGTGCTAGAGAAAATAATCCAATCAGTGATTAATATTCAGAAGTAACTAGAAAATAGACCATTAAATTAACGTAAAATAGGCGATTATCCTTACGCACAGAAAATGAACGAAAACAAAACAAAAAAAAACGATACAGCTATAACGTAAGATGACACAAGTCTTTCCAATTAATCTGTGAATCTCGTTGGATGTTTCAGAATCATAACAGATACACCTTCATGCATTTTGCAATACATGCTTTTGTAATCCGCACGTACAACGTGTGCCGTTCCTTTCGTTTATCACTCGGTTTGCTTAAAATGGCAATGTCGGTTATGGCAGTAATCCTAATCCTAATAATAAAAGGACTAATAAAGATAGTAAAGATTGTAACAAATATAAATTAGGAGTAAGAATAGAATTGAGCAAATTGATAGCTAACTATATACGTAAGCAGAGCGATAAACGAATATTTTAGTAATCAACAAAATGCAGAAAAGGGGCGAAGAGAAAAGAGAAAAGGGACGCCAATTTCCAAGTAGCAACAATTGGCACCCTCCCCGGGGTCATTATCATCAGACCCAATGACACTCTGTCACTATCATCATTATCACAAAATCATCGTTAGTGATCGAGGTCCCTGCATTACAAGTCGCGATTGTGCAAGACTTACAAGATTTGGCCGAACGCATATTACTTCCAGAAACGATAAAAATCAATGGCACTTGTATTGAGGAGATATTCTTCAGTATTTGCAAAGAAGGAGAATAGGAGGAGGAAAAAATATGATTGCATTAAAGCATGTGCGGTCATTCAGCGTGGAAAACTAAGTGATTTAGCAGAGGAACGTGCGCCCACTCTCACAGCTGTTGCTACACGCTCTGCCGAGATATGTGGGGCAGTTCGTAGCGCTAACACAACTGCTTCCAGTATTTTCTTACATAATTATCAGCATCTACTTCACAGCTGGGATTGCTGCTGTCTCCATAATCGTGCTTGTACACATATGTAAAGAATATGCAAATGCACACACGGGTACAAAGACGCACTTGCATATTCTGCAATACGCAAATATTCGCATCCTCATATGTGTAACTGCGGTCACGGTAATCCAAATGAGCAAACATGAGCTGTGGTCATCTCTCTCTCTCTCTCTCTCTTTCTCTCTCTCTCTCTCTCTCTCTCTCTCTCTCTCTCTCTCTCTCTCTCTCTCTCTCTCTCTCTCTCTTTCAGTCCCAACATATGTATGTCCACATTTTGATCTCTACCTTTCAATCTCTATCTACCCACCCCGTCTCTCCTCCCTCTCTCTCTCTTTCTCTCTCTCTCTCTCTCTCTATCTATCTATCTATCTATCTATCTCTCTCTCTCTCTCTCTCTCCCTCCTCTCTCTCTTCTCTCTCTCTCTTTCTCTCTCTCTCTCTCTCTCTCTCTCTCTCTCTCTCTCTCTCTCTCTCTCTCTCACACACACACACACACACACACACACGCACACTTTCAATCTCTCTCTTTAATTCTCTCCTTGCATCTGCCTCTCTTAATTTGTCTGGCTGTCTCTGATTGTGTTTCTCTCTGTCTTTCTCTTTCTATGCCTGCCTATCTATCCATCAGGTTCTCTCTCTCTCTCTCTCTCTCACAGAGAATGTCGCGCTCCTTAACAACCCGGCTTCATAACAGAGATCCTTCAGTAAGGTCGTCCAGCCTCTCATCACCACGAACTATCATTAGCCTCAACACCATCATTCGCAACACCAACATCAACACCACAAGAACAACACACTAATGGCCCTGGAATCATCATCATCAGACCTGTCACTACCATCATTAACCGTGGCATATCAACACCCGTGACTGTTAGGGTCCTGCGTGGCACTGTGTAAAGGACCCCCCCCCCCCATCCCTTAGGACTGCGTATGGTGATATTGTTCTGTGTGTAGCGTAAGGAGAAGCCTTTGCGTGACACTTTATGTGTCTCGTTTAGCACTTACGCTGCAGGATTACCTAATAACAAAATGATTTCTGTCTGGCCCCTGTTCAGTGAGTTGGTCTGGCTCCTGTTCTAATGGCTTCGGTTATTTGTCATTTCCTATCTGTCTTTCTTCTTTTATCATCCGATTGATTTATCTCTTCTCTTCTTGTTATCCTCGTTTGGTAGTCATTATGTTATTCTTCGTTCTCTGTGTAACCTAATCTACCAGCCATGAAGCTTAACTGTCTTTGTATTTCCCCGTGACGCTAAAATCTCAACTAGATGATTCAATTGTTAGCAACAGTCAAT